TTGTTCCCAATTGTGCCAGTAAATTAGCTATGGTTCAGAGTAATCACACTTGGCCATATTGTGGCTTAAAATCATGGTTGCCAGTTATCTGAATCTTTATTTAAAATCACAGGAAACGCTTTTCCGTCCCCCACAAATGTTTAAACAACCCGCGACAGAGCATTGCAATATTGCATCAGCTTCCTAGCACCGCACCTAATGCTGAGGAAGTCGCACTTTTGGATCATGACGATCGGCAGTTGCGTTTGCTCTGAACAAGACCCAAAATGGCGGCGCCCAAAACAATTTTGGGGAACGGGGTGCCGATACTTTAAAGCTCATTTAGTGACTCTAGGCGTGAAGTGAACTCGGGTGTATTTTTTCCTCTTCGTCTTTATTGTTTATTGATTTCAGTCATATCGAATAATGAACACATTATATCACGCTACGCTTGTGTAATTATTTGTCTTAGATTTATTAACCTGACCCAGTACTTCAACCATTCATTTATCGATAGTAAATCTTCCAATAGATTTGTTTAATGTGAAGGTAAAAAGACACGGAGATTGATGATGATACAGACGCCAACGCCGCCCTCGGAAATTTTTGAACATTAGAAATCAGCAGTTTGTCTGCCATCCGCCAGGTAGCGCAATAAAACACCCAAACAGATTTTAATTGTTTTTAAAATTAGCTAAGCTCGACACCTATTCAAAAACCAAAGCAAGATAACTGTGAAGATTTAATACATCGCAATGTATATATATTCCAAAAAATAAATGTTATTAGATGCCAATAAATCTGTTTGATGTCCAAAAAAGATATGCGTCAAAAACAGGTAAGTTTGAAGGGCTCCTGGAGCGTTATGACTTTTTAAATGAAAAAAAAGCCATGGTCCACCTCTTTGGCAACCATTGTAGCTCTAAATGTTATAAAAGATTTTATCATAGATTAATTATTTCCTCAGCGGCATTTGAAGTACCATGACTCGAAGCTCAAAAAAAAATGCTACGTTTGACGTAAAATATCTAAACAAAAAAATTTTACACAACATTAAGTTTTTTTCTGCATATTACCAATTATAAGCACTACATCCGTAGCTTATTTCATTGTCCTAGCGCTTGTCATTAAAAACATATTTGTGCTCAAAAATTTCAATTTTAGGGCAATATTTGGATGGATGAAAAAAAACAAAGTAGTGCAAATACCAAAAAAGTGTATCGTTACATTCTGCTCCAACATCCTCTTAACAAGACTGCTATATTGGAACCGTGCTATCTTTAATGGATCGTTCATAAAACATAAACTAGCGGAGCAAGTGAGGGTCCGCGCCATCATATTCGCATCGCTATAATTGCGCATGAACAGTGAAAACCAACACACACCTAATATCAAATGAAAGAGGATTGCATTGCCTTTCGAATGACATCAATCCCACAAAACATTATTTAAAAGGAGATGAGTAATGACCTGCCAAAAAGTACCTAAACTGCCACATTCAGTGGGACCGTGGCCTTAAGTTAACCGGCTTCGAGCAAACGGGCCCAGGTGAGGACACGGCGGGGCTAACTGCGCGGCGCGAGGAATCAGATAGCGTTCGTTCGACGGGCATCCGAAAGGCTGCATCATTCTGCGGCCACCGTGCCCGTAAAGCCCCTCTATCCTGGGAAAAGTGGCACCATTTATCGTTGTAGAAATGCTCGAGGCAAGTGCCGGCCGCGCCTCTTCTGGGGAATTAATGGCGTCTGAAATCTAGCTCAGTGCTGTGCGGTGCCGCCATGATCTTCCCAAAGGCTGCACGTTGCACGTGCCTCGTGCATCGACAAACCTTGCGCTACTGATAGTTTTGTAAAGGACAAGCTTTAAAGATGATGGTGCCATAGAAAAGTTATGACGGAAATACCCAAGCATACGGTTAGCGTTATTTACTATACGTTTGACATGCATTTGCCAAGACAGATTAGCTGTTATGTGAACCCCTAGATAATTGTATGACGTTAACTTGTTCAAGTGCACTGCCTGAAAGTTGATAATCGTAAATGCTGCCACAAACGGTCTGACGCGTAATTCTCATTACTTGACATTTGTTAGTATTCAGACGCATTTCCCAGATACCAAACCAATTAGAGATTTTGTTAAGGTCATTCTGAAGCACATAGGAATCGGAACTAGTAGAAATGACTCGAAAAATGACACAGTCGTCGGCAAGCAACTTGATGGATGAGTCGATAGAGTTAGGAAGGTCATTAATGTAGATGAGAAAGAGAAGAGGACCAAGCAGAGTCACTTGTGGCACACATGAAGTAACGGGGGACGAGGATGATTTGAAGTCGTTAGCAACTACAAATTGGGTTCTGTTAGACAAGAAACTTTCAATTCATGCGAGAATGTTAGGGTCAATATTTAATCTGCTTAATTTCAAACAGAGTAGCTGATGAGATACGAGGTCAAAAACTTTAGAAAAGTCCAGAAATATGCAGCAAACATGAGATTCATTATCTAAAGCAGCAAAAAGTTCATGTCTAAATGAAATGAGTTTTGTCTCACAGGTGAACGTCTTACGAAAGCCGTGCTGGTATGATGTAAAAACTGCCTAACTCTCAAGGCAACTAACAAGGTTAGAATAAATTATATGCTCTAGTATTTTACAAGGAACACTAGTTAAAGATATTGGTCTGTAATTAAGGGGAGAATGCGAAATTCCTGATTTAAACGAGGGTACCACATTGCCCACCTTCCAATCGCCGGGCACAATGCAGGTATCTAGGGGATGTGAAAAAAGTTTCGACAAAATTATGGAGGAGTATACTTCGGTGATCTTCAGAAAGTTTGAGTAATATCATCAGGTCCAGGTACAGATGGCGAAGAAACTTTTAAATTTCGGATTAAATGTATCACACCAACCCGGTCAATACGCACAGGATCCATATAAAAAAAGCTCAAATCAGCAACATCAGGAAGACAAACGGAGGGTAGATTCAAGAACGACTTTGCAAACACTTCATTAAACACTGAGCAGCATTCAGACTGAGGAATAGTCACACCATTAGCGTCGTTTAGGTATATCTTATTCTGTTTCGGACCACAAACTATGTTCCACAACTTTATAGGGCTGTTTACCAGTAACAAAGGAAGTGTGTTATTAAAGAAAACTCTCTTAGCTTCTTTCACTGCGCTTTTAAACAGAGCTGTAAATTGACGATAAGCACACCACTTCACATGACTCTAACTCTGTTTGGCTCTGCGATATAACCGCTTTTTCTTTTTTGAAAGACGCTTTAATGGAACGTTGAACCAAGCGACTCGATACTTGCATGAGACTACGCGTAATGGTATTATTTTTGCTAAATAATTCACCTTGTCCCTAAAAATATACCAATTAGTTTCGATAGTACGTTCCGAAAAATCCAGCATGTATTCACCTAAAAACGCTCCAAGCTCTCTGTTTATGGATTGATAGTCGGCCTTGTTGTAGTCCCTAATATACTTTGGCTTACTGACTGAACGATGAGCAGATCATTCAAGAGTTAAATTAACAAAGCAATGACCACTTAGACCGGGCAAGTCGGTTATTGAGTTAACCAAGTCAGGAGATGTTGCCAAAATGAGATCAAGAATATTTGCTCTCATGAAGAAGTTTGTGTAGGTTCTGTTACCCTTTGAGGAAAATTAAAATCAGAGCAAAGGTTTACAAATGCCGTGGATTCACTGTGACCCGGAAACAACCGGGCGTGAATCATTCCAAAGTATTTTCGGAAAGTTGAAGTCCCCTAACAAAAACAAAGGCGAATGAGTGTAATGAGGGTGTTAGATCGCGTCTTGAGTTCGCGTCCGTAATATGAACGCGAACTCAGCAAGGTCATTAAAAATTTTAAGCGTAGATTTGTACGAAATCTATATAATAGACACACTGTCTGCTACCACTTTTATGGCTACGAATCTTTTTTTGTGGACCTCAATCTTTTAACTCTTCATGATAGAATAATTGCAAGAGATATGTGCGTTTTGCATGAGGTTGTGCAGGGTGCTATTGACTGTTCACAGGGTTTTTGATGGCCTTGAAATTCCGTGTGCCCTCTAAGCGGTCAATCAGCTGCCGAGACACTTTTTATTTTAACATGCGATTAACCTGTCCGACGAAATGATTGCAAGAAACCTATAATGCCTTTTTCTTAGACGATGACTATTTTGTTTGATTTTGTTACTTGAAATACGTGCATTTACCTTATGTATTCACTCATTGGACAGCGCTCTGACACCCAGGCCACTTGGCTGTTGCAGGCACTTAATAAAATTATCTATCTATCTATCTACACCACGTGAGAAATTTTAATCCTTTTATTTATGCTTACACAACGTACAGATGAAACTAAGTTCTGTTGTTATTCTGGTTCGTTCGCATCGCTGAAACTCTACGAACGTTCCTTCTCAACACAGTATTTAATTAGCTCCCGAATGTTTAAGGCAAGCTTAACATTTCAATGGGCACCAAACGCTTTTTAACCTTAAACTGTTCAAGCAAATAACTTTTTAATGTAAATTTCTGTAAATCAGATAGTACAAGAATACTCGCCAGGCAAACAAAAGGGCAGAGATATTATGAAGGCAGGCCGAAAAAATAAAAAAAAAAGATATCTCCCCCAGCCTTCGTCGTTTTGTTGATTTTTTTTTTCTTGTAAACTTACGAGAAATATTTTTGGTTACATCGAGCAAGCATTTATTTTATTTATTATCTTTACATCGGGTATATTTCTGTATATGTATTTTTGCTCGTTTCCTGGCTCTAAGCATAAGCAACTGCATTTGTAGGCCAGCACTAATATTTTGTAATTTCTTATTTGAATAAAGTATTATAACTATTATCACCAGCGTGCTCTGCGTAGAAGCCAATATTTTTGTTCTTTACTTGAATGTTTAGAAGAGTATACGTTTTAGTATTCTCTGGTTTATGCTCAGATTGGGCACTTCTCTAGCTAGTGTGCCCTCAAACCATAAATATTCTAAAGAGGCTACAGAACACCTGATTTATATTTTATTACTTTATTTTAGTTCAGACAAAATAAAACTCCCAGAACCATAGGGGCTCTGAACGCTGCTGTTGCTGTCGGCTCTAAGTTTCCATGAAGCTCTCCCTTGGCAAAGCAAACATTAAAGCAATATACTTTTTTTACGTAGAATGATCGATATGACGAGGGGACTCTTTTTTATGGCATTCTGAGGCTATAGCAGGTCCGTCGACCCTCAAAATATCCTTGTCTGCTTCATGCCGCAGCCGTCCGGGCACTGTTGCTGGAGTACGGCTCGTGCCGTTGCGCACGACTCGTCCGTCTGGTAGATTTGATGGAACACCGTGCCGTTGAAGGTTTCGTCTGCAAGAGTTGAAGTGTGCATTCACTGTCAGTAATTTACACAGGCACAACCTCAAAGCCCCTCAAATACACACCCAGGTTAAGTTCGACCTCCAATCCCCCAGAGCCCGTTCCTCCCCTTTGAGACAGAGCACGCAGAGAGCTTATCGCTACGATGCATCGTGTAAGCTCGGTAAGTAAAAAACAACACACGAAACGTTTTGTCCGAACTATGAGGTCAAAGCTGTGATACCCATCACGACTTGAGCAAGAGAAACGTCATGCTGACTCATAGTCTTTTATGTATACTAGCAATGCAACTGGGGAAGCTAAGCGGATGGGGAAAAAAGAGGATGTTGCCGTAAATTAAGATCAAATCTGGACAGTATTACGATACAGATGTATCGCGATGGTATCTCATAGCTACTTTCGAGTATCTGTATCTCTGTATAGATAGAGATACCCATAAGAATAGTAATTGTATCTCAGTCTTCAAATGCATTTACGATGTATTGATTGTATCGCGATACTTTGCCAAGCTTAGGTATATTGCTACATTTGTCCTCAAAAATTAACTTTGGGGTTTTCGCGATAAACTGACTACCAACCTTTTTGGTGCGAATGATCGCAGAATTTCTATATTCTTATGTGTATAGACGCTTTGCGGCAGCTGTGCATTGGCGTCGACATAACCGACCTTCAATTACTGTTTCTTCTTATGACGTTTACTTCATTTCATCATGACCAGAGCAGTGCAGTTTATTTTCATTTTAGATTTTACTGTGTCCTTCTCCCCTGTCTTGGCTCATCAATGCCCGCTTCACTGGCACGGCATCTGGGTAAAATAAGAAAAGGTCGGCGATGACGGTTGTAATATGGCGTGTGTGCAACACGTCTGTAGTAAGACCCCACGCACAACGACCTATACAGGGGGAAGCCTGGTTGCCTGGTATGTATAACGCAGATGAAGTTCCTAAATTGTGAAAAAAATAAGTCTTTCAAAGAAAGGTCCCTTGCAAGAATAGCGCAGTGTAATCTCTTCCCACAAAGCCCTCAACTTCTTCCGCTTGTGGGGACTTTGGCGGCTCCCCGGTCCAGTTCCCCGACCACGGGGCACAGGTGGAGAACTTTACCGCGTGGGCGGCGGGGTCAAGGCGGCAACGAGCACATCGCGCGCGCCGCCAAGATAAGGCGGATCAGAGGCAGCGCACTGCTAGTCGCTGGCTGGACTCAAGCGCCGCCGGTGCTCGTTGGTTTTCTGTTAGTATTCTTCATCGTCTCGTCCATGTCCAATTAAATGTAGTTTCTTGTTGTTGAAACCGTTGGCTCCGTGTTCTTCCTCCGGGTCGGGTATGAAGCAAGGCAAACCGACCCCACAGTTTAGCACTCACCCTGGTTGACTAAGCCCTTAAGAGGACAGTTTGAAATATGCTCTCACGAGAAAACAGGGTTCATATTGAGCAAACGCCCTTTGACACGCACGACTTCTTTTTCTTTTTTTTTTTTTTTTGTTTTTAGCGGCATTTGGGATGGTAGTATTGAGTGCAACAGAAAGTCGAGGGCAGAAAGGATATTCCTTGAAATTAACTACGTCATAGAAGAAGCGGCAACTTTGCCCAGGGGCCCATGCGCACGGCGGCGCTGTTTAGGTACCGAGTCATCTTGCTCTCGAGCACCGCAAGTGCCGGTCAAACGGATGTGCAAGCGTGCCTATCGCTTGGGCACGCTTGCACATTCGTAAAGGGGGCAACTAAAACCATGCCAAAATGTTTGCAATTTAATGGCGGACAGCTGCTCCGCAGATCAGCTGCTCGTGCGCATGCGTGCGTTCACGCGCGGTGAGAAAGATAGGGGGGAGTGGGGGAGAGGCTGGAGCAAAGATTAGAACGTTTGCAGAGGATCGACGTTTTTCGTCCTCCTCCCGCACTGTAATGCAAAGACGACACAAATAAACCACGTGACCCCGAGTGAGCACTTGGAAGCACCCTAAACACTAGGCACGCTAAGAATGGCAATCAAAGTGGTCACGACAGCGGCAACCTGGTCATAACTACAAATGGCAGAGGGTTCTTCCGTAGAGCTCCGAGTCCTTTACACGGTAGAGAAGTGGTTCTCAAATGAAGGTTCGCGGACCCTTTGGGGTTCCGAAGGCCTTCTTATGGTACCCGACACCCTCGACCGTCAAACGAGCCGAGCGACAAGATTTTTGTTTAGAATAGACGATCTCACCAAGCGTTCCGCGCATGCGCGACGCCACCATAACTTTAGCTCACGGGAGGCAGACGGCCGTGCATGCGAGGGCTCGTGCCGTCTCCTGTTCCTCACGCGCAGAGCTCCAGCAAGGTTGTTGCGCGTGCAGAAAGACTAAAGTTCCCTCGACGCATTGCGGCAGCGGTGGCGTAGTCAAACTGGCTGGTGAGATCTGTCTATTGATACTGGCTGTTTTACATGTGTGCCGAGTGAGTAAAGCTAATTATTCTTTGTTTCGGAGCTGCAAAGTTGGTTTCCACGCATTTACTTTTCTTTATTTACCGTTTTGTTGTCGTAATTATCTAGTATCTCACGTTAAACCCCCTATGAATCTCCCATCACACTTCAGCCGATCCAGAAAGTATCCAGAAAACATCGGTGGTTAAGAAGCACTAGCTGTGGTGGAGTTCAGAGCAACTGAATGTGCTCCATCGCCGTGGCGCATGGCTACGAAGGTATTTCTCCTTTTACGAACTCTTCTGCGGGTCAGTTGTCTCGTCGTCACTTTCTCTTCTTTCTTTTTTTTTTCTTGCACTATTGCGCCACCATTGTACTGGTGTCCCAATTCCTTCTTCAAAAACATTTAAGCGTTTATCAGCGATGTCAAAAAGTTGAATCTGAAGCACAGAAATGTTTTACTGGGGTGCATGCCTTTTACAATTATAGCTTGGGAAGTGATGGATTACAAAGTAATTTTGTAACTGCCATGTTAGGTTATTACCACAAAAATTTGTAATTTGATTGCATTACAAAATTTATGTAAAGGATTACTTCAACTATAGGCAACTTGAGTAAAAATACGAACACATTCTTCGTTAACACAATTCAAACATAGTTCAGAGAGCCGATCAAAATAATACCATATTGTAACCAGGTCAAAGCTGACCTCTTCATAAGCTTCATAGCCATCTCTAAACTTTCCGATGTTGGCAGAACCTGTGACATGAAAGTATAAAAGGCAGAATAACTTACTTATTACGTAGACAGTGCCGTTGATGGGATCTTCTGTGAGAACGACCTCAGCTCGTCTGCCTGAAAAAAAGAAATAGCAGCACAGGTAGTTATTGCCCGCTTAAAATATATCATATTGCATGTTAATTTGAAAAACAAAATGCTCATTTATTTTGCCAATGACACGACCGCAACTAAATCAATAAACTTGCGAAAAAGTGCACATTTAGTTCAATTTATTGTTTTCCTTTGAATGGAAGGTTAAGTTTTGTTAATTCGGGGCCAAACGTAAGTTTAGTTCAATGCATTATTTGTCTTTGATCGGACGATTAGCGGGAACAGTTTTCTTTTTGTCTCGGCCTCGGGAATACCGATTAGAACAATATTTTATTAAAACATTAATGGACTGGTATTGCATTAATAGTAACGTAATTTTGCGGTCATTTGTGTCGTTATTCTTCACGCGGAAGGATGGCGGGAAGGAAAGTAAATTCCTTTTTCGGCGCAAGTGTTTCTCGCGTTTGAGGTGATCGATGGTCAAATGAGCTAGCGCACACTTTCTTTAGCGCACATTAGGGTGCCTTCATGTGCGCTTTGTTCAGGTTGGAGACATCTGGCCATTTTGTCCTACATTTTAATTTTTATTTGTTGTTCAGAAGCGCGTGCAAGTGCGTGTCCCTGCACGCGCTTGTGGCGATGACTGTGCTATGACGACATTTTGTTTCCGTCGATGTCTTTGTATCTTACCCGTGAGTGCGTGTTTTCAGCTTCAGGTGCTACAAAGGGTAGCGCTCTTTTCTGTCTTGTCCTTCTTCTTTCTACTTTGTGCGCTAAATACCTTAATATGTTAGGGTAGCATCACCCTAAACAGAAGGACATTGAGGCGCCCTAGCGCACATTAGCTTGGAGCTCGTGAAGTGAAAGCTCGCGTTGCTGAACCTAGAGTCACTAAATGAGCTGCGCTTAGAGTATCGGCACTCCGTTCCCCGGCATTGTTGTGGGCGCCGCCATTTTGGCTCGTATGCAGAGCAGACGCAACTGCCGATCGTCATGATTCAAAAGTGCGACTTCCTCAGATTTAGATTCGTTGTTAAAGGGGCGGTGCAACGATATTCAATTGGAATGTTTTACACTTTACACGAGCTTACTGGCACTAGTGGGACTCAAGGATACTCACACGCAACGCCACCGGCCAAGAAACTCCCTAGTTGCGGCGTAATTTCAAGGACAAAACCGAGTGTTTTCATTCAATCTCTCCTTCGCAAAATCTGATGACGTAGCTGGGCGGTGGCAGTACCGCCCAGTGACGATATTTGAATGCGGCTCATAGATTGGACCCGAGCATGGCGTGGACGCTCGATTTGGGCTCGTGATAATCGATAGCTCGAGGCGCATTCGGGTTATTGCCCATGTCCAATCGCTGCAACGACGACAATAGCCGAGCCATAGCAATGTCTGGAACTCAGCGCGTGTCCTGTGCTTTGCCAACCCCAGCGCGGGGCTATGATCAACATTGGCGGCATATAATCGGCTCCAGATCACGTGGCCGTTTGTTCTGGTTGCGAGTTGAGGGGATGAATTCTGCTCGTTTTTCTTTATTTCTTTCTGCGACTTCGAGTGCGTGTGGTGAAAAACGAACGGGTATTTCACAATTCATTAACGTCAGGGATCCGTTCTAAGCGGTATTTGCGCAAAATACAAAAGTCGTTGCATCGCGCCTTTAAGAAGGTCACGCAATATTGCTTTGGTCTGTTACGAACTGTTAAAACATTTGTGGAGGGCGGAAAGGCGCTTCCTGTGATTTCAGATAAAGCTTCAGATAACTGGCAACCATGATTTTAAGACACAATATGGCCAAGTGTCGTTACTCTGAAGCGTAGCTTATTTAGTGGCACTAGCTGAACCCAAGATCCCGAGCTCAATCCCCACCCCTGCCCTAGAGCCACTAAATGAGCTGCGCTTAGAGTATCGGCACTCCGTTCCCCGACATTGTTGTGGGCGCCGCCATTTTGGCTCGTATGCAGAGCAGACGCAACGCCGATCGTCACGATTCAAAAGTGCGAGTTCCTCAGCGTTAGATTCGGTGTTAGGAAGGTCGTGTAATATTGCTTTGCTCTGTCGCGAACTGTTTAAACATTTGTGGAGGGCGGAAAAGCGTTTCCTGTGATGTCAGATAAAGCTTCAGATAACTGGCAACCCTGTTTGTAAGACACAATATGGCCAAGTGTCGTTACTCTGAAGCGTAGCTTATTTAGTGGCACTACCCTGCCCTTTTCGATCTGGATGAGAATCGTGCCTGCGTGCGGTCGAGCACCACTACTGCGTCTTGCAAGTTAAACCCCCAAGGCCAGAAGATAAAATAGTGTTCTGGCTAAATTTCTCATCTACAGCTGAGAAAGCTGACCCACATTGGGGTAGACTACCTCCCGGCTGTATAAACACGCACACAACAAAATTACTTACTTTTGTTTTGTGTGTTCTTGATTTACCGATTTCTATACATTTCTTTCTGTATTTTAAAAGCTTCATTCACTATAACCTACCCTGCTAACATGTCAAATAGTAATATCGGTATAAAAAAGATATGTACCAATAACGCTTCTGAAAGTGTTTGAACCGTTTTAACTTCTTCAAGCGTTGTACCTAAGATAAAAAAAAAAGTGAATTCATCGTACACACGTCCTGTTTCAAAAGGTATACCTAGCAATTTATACGCATTTTTCAAGAATGGGAGCGATTGAAATATCCATCAAAAAGTCACTTCGATACTGGCGCTAAATAAAACAAGAACTATCAAACTGACCTAACAATTGTCTTTGAAGTTGGTTCTTTTTTTTTTCTTCTATCTTTTGGTATCAGCCTAGTAAGTAAAACTCAGTTTACTACAAACAGTAGAACTGCCGTTGCTCAATGAAGCATTTTCGCCTCAAATGGGGACTAGCTTTATTTTCTGTGCGTGTCATTCGCCTGCAGTATACATTTTGTCTCGTAACACAAACTTTATGGCAGGTAGCCTTTTATTTGGGCACTCATCGACTACGTCCGCCATCTTAAATTACTAAAAGCTACCACGTATTATGCTCGTGAAAATCCTACTCTAGACTCCGACAGGGTGAGAACAGGAGGGAGGAGCTTCCGTTGGCCCGTCCTCCAGCGCGAGGTTCCTACCTTCGACAGCGCTTCGCCGTTTCGTGAGCGTCGAGCGTGCCCGTACGCGCAGCCAAACTACTATAGATGGCAACGAGTGCCTGCTGAAGGACGGTCATCCTAAAGAGACGCCCTTGCCGCTGCAAAGGTCGATTCACACAGCATCGTTTTCTAACGTTGACTTTAAGTCATCGAAACATCCGCGTCTTCAACATCGCGTACCAGGCTATCGCCTTGAACTGGTAACCCCTCTTAAGATGAAGCGAAGATGTACCGGTAATTTGTGGCGTATGCTTACGTAAGCTTTCGTAACGTAACATGAGCTAAGAAAACGTGGCTGTGTGAACCAGCTTTACTCCTGTCAGTGACTATACCCCTTGTCCCAAATAACGGCCAGGCTATTTTAAATCGACCGGAAAACATCGGTCTCTTAACCTATGACGTTCTGATATTGTACAGCGTTGGCCACAGGAGGTGCATTTTTTCTATAAAATTCGCAAAGAGCGAACTTATCTGAGGAAAAAGTAAAAAAATAAAAAGTCTTAACTCCTATGGAAACGCAGCGAAGCCACCGGTATGCAAACCATAGGGCGCCCTATGGTTTGAAGACCGGTGGCTTCGCTGCGAAGACCGGTGACGATGGCGATGACGTCATTGTGATGACGTCATCAGTGGCGTCACCAGTGACGTCACGCCTTCCACAATGCACCACGCGGGTACGCCGACGGTGACGGCGGCACCGCTCAAGCCGGAAACGGGCGCCTATGAGCTGCGCTCTAAAACATTGAAATCTACGGCGAACTCTAAAATATGCAGCAAATACTTCACCGGAATCGAGAAGCGAAATGCGCTCGCCCACCCAGCCCACCCTTGGATGTTTCCATTAGCCTACAGGAACATAGTAGTGGGAATAGCGGAACGGCACGAAAACAATCGCCAGGCTATTCTCAAGCTCACTCAGAAAGTAATAAACGCACATAATAAGAGCCAGTCTACTCAACTTCAACTAAGAAAGCTCTCTTACCTGATTACGCGAAGCTCGAAGATTTTTTTGCTTGCGAGCTCAATTTCGTCTGCGGAGTACGGCGCGCCGTGACATCCACTTTTCCGTCGAAACGGACCTCCTTCCAGAGGTCGGCATTTTAGGTCGCCCTCACTCACCCTCACCCTCACAGCCACACTCACCTAAGCCCCTCACTCACCCTCACCCTCACAGCTACACTCACGTTCAGCCCCTCTCTCACCCTCACCCTCACAGTCACACTCACCTTCAGCCCTTCACTCACCCTCACTGAACCTCGCGGCCCTCACGCACTCACCGCCCTCACGGCCCTCACGCCCCTCACGCCCCTCACCGCCCTCACGGCCCTCACTCACTCATGGCCCTCACGCCGCTCACCGCCCTCAGGCCACTCACGGCCCTCACGGCCCTCACCGCCCTCACCACCCTCACGGCCCTCAAGCCCCTCACGCCCCTCAGCGCTCTCACGGCCCTCACTCACTCATGGCCCTCACGCCACTCACCGCCCTCAGGCCACTCACCGTCCTCACCGTCCTCACCACCCTCACGGCCCTCACGGCCCTCACAGCCCTCACGCCACTCACCGCCCTCACGTCCCTCACCGCCCTCACGGCCCTCACCGCCCTCACCGCCTTCACGGCCCTCACCGCCCTCACGGCCCTCACGGCCCTCACGCCACTCACCGCCCTCACCGGCCTCAGGCCACTCACCGCCCTCACGGCCCTCACCGCCCTCACCGCCCTCACGGCCCTCACGCCCCTCACGCCCCTCACCGCCCTCACTCACTCATGGCCCTCACGCCACTCACCGCCCTCAGGCCACTCACCGTCCTCACCGTCCTCACCGCCCTCACGGCCCTCACGGCCCTCACAGCCCTCACGCCACTCACCGTCCTCACGGCCCTCACCGCCCT